AAAGTGTCCAAAATCTGATCAGCTCATTTTCAGACAGGTTTTTATAAAAATGGATCAGGACAAAAAGAGAGAGAATCTTTGTTCCTGAAACGTTCAGAGTCTCTTTCCACAAATGATATTCCTGGTTCCTCTTCAGGTGGTGAAGATCCTGGAGAAACACGAGCCGGGTCGCAGTGGAGCTCTGAGTTTCCTCTCGTCTCACAGCGGGGGGTCTTCAGCTCTGAGACTCGGACCGATCCCCCCCGACGAAGCCAGCGCCGTGCAGAACTACGTGGAGCACATGCTGTTCCTGCTGATGGAGGAGGAGGCGGGTCAAGGTGAGAGGAACAAAGATGGACGAATAGTCAGAGGTGGGAAGTAGTGGAGTACAAATACTTCGTTACTGTACTTAAGTACATTTTTCTGGTATCAGTACTTTACTCCACTACTTATTTTTCTGACGACTTTTTACTTTGACTTCGTACATTTTGAACACAAATACCTGTACTTTCAACTTCTTACATGTAGAAACCAAATACCTGTACTTTCTACTTCTTACATTTTGAACACAAATACCTGTACTTTCTACTTCTTACATGTTGAACCCAAATACCTGTACTTTCTACTTCTTACATGTTGAACCCAAATACCTGTACTTTCTACTTCTTACATGTTGAACACAAATACCTATACTTTCTACTTCTTACATGTTGAACACAAATACCTGTACTTTCTACTTCTTACATGTTGAACCCAAATACCTGTACTTTCTACTTCTTACATGTTGAACCCAAATACCTGTACTTTCTACTTCTTACATGTTGAACACAAATACCTATACTTTCTACTTCTTACATGTTGAACACAAATACCTGAACTTTCTACTTCTTACATGTTGAACACAAATACCTGTACTTTCTACTTCTTACATGTTGAACACAAATACCTGTACTTTCTACTTCTTACATGTTGAACACAAATACCTGTACTTTCTACTTCTCACATTTCCCAAACAGGCTGGTTCCTTTAGTTTGAATGTGTGTTTGGTGGCGTGATCATTATTATTTAGAGTCATTGCGTGCCTATTGATTTGAACACGATCCGTGTATCCATCATTTCCTGGTCTTCTCTAAAGAAGAGGGACCAATGAAAACGTTGTCATGTTGCCGTTGTTCAGCATGGAAACATTCATTAGCTAACAATGACATTATTGTTCTATTAATATAAAGGGAGGTCAGGTACTCTTTAAAACAGCTGCTAGTTATGGGTACTTTTTACTGAAGTACATTTCAAAGCCTCTTTGCTTTTACTTGAGTAAAGAAGTTTAGTCAGTACTTCTACTTCTACCAGAGTATTTTTAAACACGAGTATCTGTACTTCTACTTGAGTAAAGGATGTGTGTACTTTAGCCCTCTCTGGTGTTCTCCCACCTGTGGTCAGGCGGAGCGATGGGGCCCATCCTGGAGCTGGTGGTGCTGGAGGGCGTGATGGAGAGGCTGTTCTTGTGGAGTCTGAGGAGGCAGTTCACTGAGGACATGAAGCTGGAGCAGCTGAGGATCTACCAGATGCTTCTCTCTCAGGCGCGGCAGCCTCTGCTTCATCACAAACCTGTCCTCCGTCCTCTGATGATGCTGCTGGCCTCCTGCAGCGGGGCCAATGCTGGTGAGGGGACTATTTATATCATACTGACATTTTAAAACCACTTTAAGATGTTTGATTACGTGCTACATGTGTTAGCTTGTAAACACAGCTAGCCTCGCTATGACTTTAAAGACCTCTGAATTAACGACATGTAATTGGTTTATGGTGTTTAATTAGGTTAAGATGTTTAAACAGTTACCTGGTATCACCCCCTCAGAAGGTGGAGGTGTGGTGGAGGCGGAGCTTGTTCTCCTGCTGCACCAGCTCTGCGTCTCATTGGTTAAAGACCCCTCAGTGCTGGAGCTGTTCTTCCACACCAGTGAAGACCAGGGGGCCGCCAACTTCCTGCTGTTCTCCCTGCTGATCCCCTACACACACAGGTAGGGACACACACACACACACACACACACACACACACACACACACACACACACACACACACACACACACACACACACACACACACACACACACACACACACACACACACACACACACACACACACACACACACACACAGGTAGGGACACACACACACACACACACACACGCACACACACACACACACAGGTAGGGACACACACACACACACACACACACACACACACACACACACACATGGGTAGGAACACACACACACACAGGTAGGAACACACACACACACACACACACACACACACAGGTAGGGACACACACACACACTCACACACACACACACACACACACAGCCACACACACACACACACACACACACACACACACACACACACACACACACACACACACATACACACACAGGTAGGAACACACACACACACACACCCACACGCACACGCACACACACACACACAGGTAGGGAGGGACACACACACACACACAC